GAAGGGTGGGACACAAAGATACAGAGTGGGCAAGAGTAACAGAGTTCTGTCCTAAGAACTACAGATATAGGAAGCAAGGATATGGCAACAGAGATCATGACAATGATTACTGAAGAAAAGGGAGGAGAAAATGAAACAAAAGGTAGCCATCAGTAGAGTTAAACTTAATGCAACTCTCCTTCACCTACTACAAGAAAAAAAATTCAGTTTCAAACCATAGAAAGTTAGTTCTGGATTTCAAGCAAAATTCTCTTTCTTTTCTATTTTTTCCCATAAGCTTTCCTCCGTCTCCTGCATTCAACACCTCTATCTTTCAATTATTCACAGCTATCCAGGTTGTTAATTACACAGTCCCAAGTTGCTAAGTAAGAAAACTGGTGCTTAATTAGCCAGCAGGAAAGATTGATTTGGATACAGCACAGGCAGTCACACAATGTTCTTCTGCAGGGATACCCGGCTGTGACCTTATGAAGGATAAAAATTCTCTGCTCACTTGAGTGAATTCAAAGGTTGGGGTATAAACATCAGATGGTCAGTCTGGTCTATAACAAAACTGAAGTTTTAACCCATCTATTATCACATTATCTAGAAGAGAGATCATGTGCACAGGATTTAAGGCATTTTTACCAAAGGCAAGCGTAAATTGAAGGATTTAACTTGCCTTCTCTGTATAGTAATTCCTTAGTATAATCTGTAGTGGGTTCAGACCCACCTCTGTATATTTTTAATCCAATACACAGAAGGTGTAGGAAAAACAGAAGACATGCTGACAGTGGGCAGTGCCTCAGAATGGAATGCATAAAATCCATTTATTTATTTATTTATTTCTCGCATTTTTATCCTGCTCAGCTCAGTGGAAACCACAACTCTTAGCAGTCCTTACAATAACATATACACACTCTCACTCACTCACTCACTCACTCACTCACTCACTCACTCTCATTCTCTCTCTCTCTCTCTCACACACACACACACACACACAGCTATTCCACATTAAGAATAGTAAATAAAAAACAATCCCAAACCATAAAACAAAACCAATAAACTGGATAACACAAAATGACAGCAACAGACGTAAAATGGTGCAGGATCAAAGAGTAAACTAACTAAAATCCCAGTACAATACAGCTTTTGATTCTTCATGCATCCCCCTGCACTCTGTTAACACAGCAAGATTTTACATACTACTGTACTCAATTTTTAATCTGAAATCATGCTGTCACAGTTCATAAGCAATTCAACAGTGCAGGCATTTGTTCTTCTTAAAGTATCCAATGTACCGGACACTATACCTTCTTTGACATATGACACACCAGCAGCTCCAACATGCTCTTCCTTATCCTTCTACAAAGTTTATATCCACTCTACTATCAATATATTACTGCCAACACTACAGTCAGCATTTATGACAACCACATACTCCATCAACCTATCAACACAGTACACTATACCCTCAACATTCACAACAAGCAGACATGTTATCGCACAAGCAGCATTTCCATCACAAACCTATGTCTTAGTTTCAAATCATAAGTTAAGAGAAATGTGCATATTCTGCTATTATAACATCTTTCATCAAGCTCTTTCAAAGCTCTGTCAACTTGCAGCTGAAGCCTGTGCTTATTCCCTTTGACCAATCACAAAACAAAAGCAGTTTACAACACATGGAATGACGTGAGCTCTTGTTAGGCTAAACAAATTTCTTTTATCTCTTTAAGGAAGGTCTACCCCTAATTAATTGTTAATTGGAACACCTAGTTTTGGCCTCAGAATTAGTTTCCAGGCCCCAATACCATGGGCACACAATCAAGCATGGAATGAGGTACCGTGAGGTAGATTCAGCATGTTAAGAATGTGCTTCTTTGCATATATATTTCAATGCAACAAGTTTCAGGTCTTATGAGCTGGCTGAGGTGTTAAGGCCTTTTCTGCCACCATCACAGCTGCATATGATGGGGACACAGGAGAGATCCTTCTCTGTTGTTGCTCCCAGATTTTGGAACTCCCTCCCACAGGAGGGCCCATAAGTGCTGTACTTCCACAAGGAGGCAAAGACTGTGCTTCAAGTTAAGGGTTCTGTGTGAACCAAACTGTGGGTATGTATGAGTGAAACTAAGCCACGTTACTATATCTTATTCACCTGATCATTTTATTTTCCCTGTGTGTTGTTTTAAATAAACCTTATTCTTTTATTGGTTGAAAATCCATCCCTGGTCTGTGTGACTTCTTATAGGGAATGGTTGGTGGCAGCTTAGTTAACGTGTGGCAGATCCCAGTAGGTCTGGGTTTGTCACAGGGGACACAGGAGAGATCCTTCTCTGTTGTTTCTCCCAGACTTTGGAACTCCCTCCCACAGGAGGGCCCATAAGTGCTGTACTTCCACAAGGAGGCAAAGACCTTCCTCTTCAGGCAAGCTTTCCCTAAGTGATTGCCTACATGAGTAACTGGCCAGATGGCTAGCTACATGAGTAACTTTTAGATGGATTATTATGCATTGATGCTCTGACTGGGTCTTTAGTAATATTTGTTTACCATTTCTCAAAGTAGTATTTATTTGTTCCTTTTTAGTATTTGCACTTATTGTTTTAGCTTTAATATTATCTTTTAAAAATGTAAGCTGCCTCTTTATGCTCACTGTTCTTAGCTTTCAGTATTGTCTTTTAATGATGTAAACCACCACTGTCTTTCAAGGATGTAAGCCGCCTTGGTTCCTTTTTAAGGAAAAATGTGGGGTAATAATGTTTTAAATAAAATAAATAAATAGATGCTTCAAATAGATGTAAAGCCAATGAAAACTCAGGAAGCGGAGTGGGCATCAATGTATCTTCCAGATCTAATCAAAAGTAGAAAAGCTTCAGCAGTACCAATAATCTTTGTCCTTCCCCATGACAACCCCTACCCTAGGGGGAAAACATAATAATTAACAAAATTAAGTGTTCGGACATATTCCAGATATACAACCCTTTCCAATCAAAATTCACTTATTCATATGTAAAACCAACACTGAGATATACTATACACACAACAACAAATAAGAAACGTAGCCAAAAAGAGAGTGAGAACATGACATTGTATGAGGCAGTTGATTTATCAAGTGGTAAATGAAACTTCTAAAATAAAATAGTCTCTAATTCCACCCTGTATGAAACATAACAAATACTTCTCAATAAAAGGAGAGTAAATGATACGAAACATTAGCGAACATGCTTCATTTGCATAATGTATATAGGCTGCACAATTTATCTTCTTCTTAACTGTAGAAATTTGATTTGTTGTTGCTGCAGAAATAAAAACTCTACACAGCCAAGCCTACAACACAGCTTTCGAGCGTTCTGATTGTCAATACTGCTCCTAGCTTTAACCTGATTTTTTTTAAAAAAACATATCCCCCAATTTCCAACAGGTGCTCCACTCTTGTAACACCCCCCCATCTTTCAGAATTTGCTCTCAGCTACATTTTATGACTTGTAAATGCCAAGGTGGTGCTGACTAAATTAACATCAAACGCTCTTCAGATTCCTCAAGAGACCCTCCTTTTTACAAGAAATGCCACTTGTTCATAGAACTCATGCTTTTAAAAAAAAACAGCAACATCCAATCATATATGCAACACAGCATTGAATTGCTCATTTATCACAGAATTTAAAACATTTTAAAAGCAACTTAGCACACCAAACTTCGTACAAGCAAGGCAAGGGTCTCCTCTATCAGCAACATCACTGACACCATTCAATAAGTGCTCGTGTAGATCTACTGTCAACCTGCATCGTGACAGGAATGATAGCAATGGAAATGCTAAGCTTTGCTAGCTGATGGGAAACTACAGTACGTATAACCAGCAACCCACAATTGCACGTTGGGTCCTGGGATTTCTAAATAAAGTGCAGGGAAATATCTATGTAAAAGACTGTAGCATAAGGTCCTTCCATTAGATCCCCAAATGCTCCCAAACAGAAGTTTCAGTACAAAGGATGGACATATTATTCCCTCCCAGATTTTACTGGTCCTCCACCCCCATAATTTCATACTATTAGCCATAATGGCTAAGACTGGTGGTTAAAATGTACTCTCACCATGTTGCAACACCATGAACTCTCAACATGAGCAACAGGAAGCAGGCAATATAACTGATGTCTCTGCACTTCTTCCCATTTCCAGTTGAAACGTTCAAGTTATCAGGCATGATCAGTTACAGAAAACTGTGTTAGCCTTGTTAAAAATAACAGACAAGACGGAGGTCTTGTGGGTGGGTGGCCCCAATGTCGGTGGTCTGGGGAAATCCCTCTCTTTTGGGGGGGTGACCCTCACCACAAAGAATTTGATTCAAAGTGTGGGTCCACCTTGACCCAGCACTTACCATGGAGGCCCAGGTAGTGTCCATGGTTTTGTCCGCCCACTTACATCTTTGGCGGATCACCCAGCTGTGTCCCTATCTAGACGTGGGGGTGCTCACCACGCTGGTCCATGCAATCGTAGTCTCAAGAATAGACTACTGTAAAGCTCTCTACATAGGGCTTCCTTTGAGGCTGATGTGAAATCTTCAGATGGTCCAAAACACACGGCGGCCAGGTTGTTAAGAGGGGTGAAAAGATTTCACCATATTTCCCCTACCCTGGCTGACTTACACTGGTTACCTATCCACTTCCACATCAATTGCAAGGGGTTAACTTACCTGCAGAGATCCGCCTGGCCCCCTCGCTGAGGGTCTTCAAGATCAATCTGAAGACATCGCTTCCCTACAGCCATCACCTAGCCTATTTCTTTTCTTTTTTTTCTCCTCTCTTTTTTTCCATCTTGGACTCTGCGGTTAATTCGGGTTTTACTTTTAGTTTATTTTTTATGCTTTATGCAAACCACCCAGAGTAGACACATTCTAGATGGGCGGTATATAAGTTTAAGAAATAAAATAAATAAATAATAAAATAACTTGGAGAAGTGTCAGGACCACCAATGCTTAATAGACATTGTTCCTACTAGAACCAAGTACTGAATATACAAACCTTTCTTTAAGTTGCTTAATATCAGACAAGATTTCATCCTTTTGCAGCCTCGCTTTAGCACTAAGGTTCTCAGTCTGCAATATTTCTAGGTAATCTTCAACATCTGTTGACAGAATTGTAAAAGAAGAGAAATTAGACCACAGTTATGTATACATACAAACTCCAGACATGCTTCCAGGCCCACATGTTTCAAAGTCTAAATTACCGTACATAAATTGGCAGTAAGGACTGGAACATTCTTCAAACGATCCACAACATGAAATACTACAACAAATGTCAATGAAATTCACACCCCTAATAAAATGACCCCCTCTTCCCCCAAAAAAAAGGAGAGTAGAAATAGACAAATATTTCTGTATGTGGGAGGTGGGGAGAGTTGTAGACCACAGAATTAAAGTTTTATTTTAAATTGCTGTACCACCAAAAGTACACCAGAAGTACAAGCTGGATTTTGAAGGGGCAGACGAACTAGAGACCAAATCACTAACATGTGCTGGATTATGGAGAAAGCCAGAGAGTTCCAGAAAAACATCTACTTCTGCTTTATTGACTACACAAAAGCGTTTGACTGTGTCCACCACAACAAACTATGGCAAGTTCTTAAAGAAATGGGAGTGCCTGACCACCTTATCTATCTCCTGAGAAATCTGTATGTGGGACAGGAAGCAACAGTTAGAACTGGATATGGGACAACTGATTGGTTCAAAGTTGGGAAAGGAGTACGACCAGGCTGTATATCGTCTCCCTGCTTATTTAACTTATATGCAGAATACATCATGCAAAAGGCAGGACTGGATGAATCCCAAAGCGGGTATTTAAAGATTGCCGGAATAAATATCAACAATCTCAGATATACAGATGATACCACTCCGATGGCAGAAAGTGAGGAGGAATTAAAGAACCTCTTAATGAGGGTGAAAGAGAAGAGCATTAAAAATGGTCTGAAGCTCACCATCAAAAAAACTAAGATCATGGCCACTGGTCCCATCACCTCCTGGCAAATAAAAGGGGAAGATATGGAGGCAGTGACAGATTTTACTTTCTTGGGCTCCATGATCACTGCAGCCACAAAATTAAAAGATGTCTGCTTATTGGGAGGAAAGCAATGACAAACCTAGACAGCATCTTAAAAAGCAGAGACATCACCTTGCTGACAAAGGTCCGCATAGTCAAAGCTATGGTTTTTCCAGTAGCCATGTATGGAAGTGAGAGCTGGACCTTAAAGAAGGCTGACTGCCAAAGAATTGATGCTTTTGAACTGTGGTGCTGGAAGAGGCTCTTGAGAGTCCCCTGGGCTGCAAAGAGAACAAACACTCATTTTGAAGGGAATCAACCCTGAGTGCTCACTGGAAGGACAGATCCTGAAGCTGAGGCTCCAATACTTTGGCCATCTCATGAGAATAGAAGACTCCCTGGGAAAGACCCTGATGTTTGCAAAGTGTGAAGGCAAGTGGAGAAGGGGACAACAGAGGACGAGATGATTGGACAGTGTTACCGAAGGTACCAACATGACGAATTTGACCCAACTCCAGGAGGCAGTGGAAGACAAGAGAGCTGGTGTGCTCTGGTCCATGGGGTCATGAAAAGTCAGACACAACTTAATGACTAAACAACAACAACCAAAATGCTTTTTTTACTACAGAGGAAACAAGATAGTGAACAGGACCCATCGTTACTTGAAAGTTTGTTTCTGCACACCAATTTCATTCTCTGAATATTAGCTTGTTGGAGTTCCATTATACACTACTTGGCAGCATTTTTGCTAGCACATGTAACAGAGAGACAGATTTTCCTCCTCACACGTGTCCATTTGTTGTATATGTGCATTCCATTTTTTTACCTGTGCACATAAAAAACAAGTGCACAAAACAACTCTAAATGTCAATGTTAAGGCAGAATAGTAACTGGGTATGCTGTAATGAAAATGCCAATCACTTGTACAAACTTTTTCAAGCCCAGCTTTCCCCACCCACTCTCATTTCCAAATGCATCTGTCCTGTTCATATTACCGGGAAATGAGATACAAAGCCTAGCTATAAGGCTGGGGTGGATCAGGAAGAACAGCATGTAAACCTTTCAAGATTAAGTTGCATTAGTTTTATTCCTTGTTATAAAACATCAAGAAACAACACAGAACAAGCAAGCAACCTCAGCCTACGACTATTCAGCTGCAGGAAGAGAAACAAGTAAAAGCTGAATAAAGAAAAAGCAAAGGAGAAAACAAAAATAGGTAAACTTGGTTATTTAAACAAGTGTTCCCCCCCAGTCAATTAAGTGATTATCTCTTTCTTTTTCTTTTTCTTCTTTTGAGTATTGCCATCTTGGAAATCTGTTGCTTAGAATTAACTGTATAATTGCATTTTATATGCTATTTTAACATGTTTTAACTTATGTAAGCCGCCCCGAGTAGACGTTGTCTAGAGGGGCAGGGTAAAAAAAGCAAATAAATAAATAAATAAATAAATATATAAATAAATAAATAAATAAATAGATAAATAAATAAATAAATAAATAAATCCAGTGCTTGATTTCTTAAATGACGGCTGGTTTCTGAAATACCTGACTACCTGATAACATGCTCAGACTCTAAAGAAAAATGTCCTCTAGTTTGGCAATAGTAGCCAGTGTGGTGTATTGGACATAGGCCTCAGGATGGCTAGGTCTGAATTCCTGATCAGCCATGGAAATTCATTGGGAGTATGAAACTGGTAAAACCACTTCTTAAATATCTTAGTTATCTTGAAAAGGCTTACGTGTTGGCACTGCGGGTTAAACCGCAGAAGCCTCTGTGCTGCAAGGTCAGAAGACCAGCAGTAGTAAGATCGAATCCACGTGTTGGAGTGAGCTCCTGTCACTTGTCCCAGCTCCTGCCAACCTAGCTGTTTGAAAGCATGCAAATGTAAGTACAGTGGTGCCTCGCAAGACGATGTTTCTTCGTTCCGCGAAAATAGCTGTGTTGTGAAAACATCGTCTTGCGAAATGCAGTTCCCCATTGAAATGCACTGAAATCTATTTAATGTGTTCCAATGGGGAAAAATCAACATCTTGAGAAAATCACCCATAGGAAAACCGTTTTGTGAAGTGCAGACCCAGCTGTCAAAATCGTTGTGTTGCGAAAAACTGTCCCCCCCCCAAGAAAAAAACGTCTTGCGAAGCACGGACCAAAACATCGTCTAGCAAAAATCGCCCATGGGGAAAACGTTTTGCGAAGTGCTATAGCGATTGCAAAAACCCATCATCTTGCGAATTAACCATTTTGCGAGATAATCGTCTAGTGAGGCACCACTGTAGATAAATAGGTACCACCACGGTGGGAAGGTAACAGCATCCCCTGTCTAGTTGTGCTGGTCACGCGACCATGGAAACTGTCTATGGACAAACGCTGGCTCTACCGCTTGGAAATATGGGTGAGCACGACAAACGCTGGCTCTACAGCTTGGAAATATGGATGAGCATGACCCTAGAGTTGGACACGACTGGACTAAATGTAAAGGGGAACCTTTATCTTTACCTTAGCTTGAAAAACTTTATTAGGGCCACTGACAGTATATAACAACAAAATGAATACTTCCTAAATCAGCTGATCATGAAGCAGTGCTCATAAATCTTCATGTCCAAAACCTGTGTCACAATCAGTGACCTAGTACATTAGAAACAGAGCTTGAAAAGTTATTATTAAAACATGTTGCAAAAAAGAAGAAAAGGATGGCAAGCTTTACATAGCAAAGGGCAGACTGAATATAAACAACACCAGTGACAGCAGTCAAGATAGTCTACAGCAGTGGTTCCTAACCTTGGGTTCCCAGATGTTCTTGGATTATAACTCCCAGAATCCTTCAGCACTAGATGTGTTGGCCTGGATTTCTGGCTGTTCATGTCCAAGAAGATCTAGGGACCCAAGATTGAGAATCACTAGTCTACAAGATGCCCTCTTGTGTTTACTACCATTCCTACTTGTCAAAAAATAGCCGTAACAATTGTTTTATGTTTGAGTGACAAGTGGTAAACTCATTTTAAAAGCAGTCAGCTTCTAGGATTTTCTCTTGCTTGGTGTCACTTTGTGAATGCTAGTGAGCACGAGAAGATATCCTGTAGATCAGTGGTCCCCAAACTTTTTGCCTCCATGGACCGATTTAGCATGCGGACGAGGGAGCATCTGTGTGTACGTGGGAGGGGCCGTGTGTGTGTGGGAGGAGCCATGCATGTGTGGGAGGGATCCTGGGAGGGGCCATATGTGCATGGGAGGGGCTGTAAGAGGGGCCGTGGGAAGGGCTGTGCTTGCATGGGAGGGGCATGCATGCATCTGCGCATGCAGGGGGCAGGAGATTTGTCTCCGCAGCCCAGTCCTGACAAGGCCACAGAGCAGACCACAGACCAGGGTTTGGGGACTCCTACTGTAGACCATTTTGACTGCTGCCACTGGTGTTGTCAACAATCAGTCTGCCCACTACTGTGTAAAGTTTGGCATCATTTTTCCTTCTGGCAACACAAGCACAATATGGTGCAGCAATATCACACCATTTCCTGCCATTTTGAATTGTGATACGGAAACACAGTATCCCACATTCATACACTCAATTTTTTTTAAATAATTCAATGTAGCTTCTAGCTCAAATAATTCTTGTTTTATAAATTAACTAATATTCTTACCATGTTACAAATGAAATCCCAGCACAAAATTGAAAATCTGCACATGCAGACTATTAGAATCCAGCATTGTTATTTCTGATCTGTATTTTTTAAATGACATGATCGCTTCTGACGACACATTAGTAAGAGGTGGTAGTTGACTCACGAGCCTGTCTTTCCAGCTTGTGTAGAAGCAATGTACCTTCCCTATCAGAAGGCCTAGAGACTCTGAAGATTGTTAAAGATGCAGCAAGTTTGATATAGGAGAGCGTGACATGCAATTAATCTCCATTCATAGCCTGCTCTACTTGTCAGAATAGGAAGGCTCCTTCCTTAGAAAAGGAACCGAAGACTTCAATTAAAAACAGTCAGCTAACAAGAAAATAATCTAAGCTAAAGGAAAGGTGGCAGGTGCCGAAAATGAGTTGTTTATGAGAAATGTCAGTTCAGAACAATAAAGTGTTGAGCATGAAA